CTCTCTCTCTCTCTCTCTCTCTCTCTCTCTCTCTCTCTCTCTCTCTCTCTCTCTCTCTGAGGAAAGGGCTCTGTCTGCCTGTCTGTCTGTTTGTCTGTCTGTCTGTCTGTCCGTCCGTCCGTCCGTCCGTCCGTCGGTCGGTCGGTCGGTCGGTCGGTCGGTCGGTCGGTCGGTCGGGCGGCCGGGCTGCCTGCCTGCCTGCCTGCCTGCCTGCCTGCCTATCTATCTGTCTGTCTGTCCGTTGCCCTGCCTCCTTCCCCCACCTCTCTCATCACCTCCCTCTGTCGTCTCAGTTCCATGAGTTCCGTTGTTGACTCGGAGGCTGGGATTTTTCAAATGCGCAGAACTGGAAACCAAGTTCTTGTTCTTGAGGTTTACAGGATGCAGAAAGAGTTTTTTCTTTTTTTCTTTTTCGTTTTCCTTTTCTTATCCAGAAACACGTAAAGAACTGACTTGTCACATTTGCAAACTTATATTGTTGCATGTGGAAGTGCAGCGAACACAGCAGGATTGGCTGCATTGGGGATTGACATCTGCGACCGCAGCAGCAAGCACGAAGGTTATGGCCGACGAGAATGGGGAGTTCACCTGCGTTCTGTTTTCTATGGCGAAGGGATTGATCAGGAAAGAACAAAGCGGTTTGGAATCAAGTCAAGGCACATTGACCTGCACAGAAACACATTGCGAGACCGCGTTGCATCTTCAAAAAAGGTTGTTGTAGTCTCAAATGTCGTTGATTGATTTATTGAAGTTTTCTCGACCAGGTCCATCTGGGCCAGCTCAACATTGAATGTATCGGGTTCAGAAAGCGTCCAAATGCATGAAGAGTGTTGTGGAGTGGAGCGAGGACCTCTGTGTGTGTGTGTGTGTGTGTGTGTGTGTGTGTGTGTGTGTGTGTGTGGGCAGGTGTGTATGTGTGTGCGTTTGGGGCTCATCTCCCAGCTGGAGAAAAAGGTCAGCGACATGGCTAGTGGTGCGGGATTCCTCCCCCTCATCCCTCCTCACTGGGCCCCCTGGCACAGGCCTCCTTTTCCTTGGGCCCACTGGGCTGTGTTACATTTGGTGTGGTTCTTGCTTTAAGAGTATTTAGTAGATATTTCATTATGTAACTTACGATAGCATATAATTTATTAATTTGGCATAGGAAGAATACTTCAAAAAAGAAGGCGTGTACTTTTGCACACATGAGTGCCTGCACGATACAGAGGCATTTTTGCACCTGCCTCTGTTCGTTCGGTATGAAAGAGACTCTCTTCCCTTGCTCTGATGATTTCATTGCTCTGCATTCTGTCTATTTATTAATTTATTATTATCTAATCATAATAAATTTTGATAAACCCGATAAGGAAATATAAGAAGGCAAAGAAATTAATAATTGACATAGCATTTCATTCTCATATTTTCTCTAGTCTACTAACATTGTGAATTTTAACAATAGATATATTGCCCCTCTGTTGACTGCAAAAGAGAGTCCTGTCCTTTGTCGTGCTCCACTTTTTGCACTGAAAATTCCATTCTGATTTTCGGACAGGTTTTCCCAAAATGGTTTTGCAAGACAGCACCGGTGGAAATTCTTCGTGACGCAAGGTAAATGAAAATGAACGTATCCCCTTTTTGCTCCCCATGCTTTCAGCCTTTCACACATCAGCATCAGTAGAGACCCAGAAATGTGCCTTCGCTTTAGGTGCCGACGGGTGGAACAGTTCCTCCTCTTTTTTTTTTTTCTCTTATTTTAAATCTGGCCCATTTCTCCATTTTTGCGTGTCATCCTTGAAAGCGCAGGGGCCATGCTAATCAATCAATCTTCTCTGTATCGTTCCAATCCTTTTAACGCGGATGTCCCACCAAAGGACTGTAACAGTTCCCCTTCCATGCATATCTCTGAATTTTCTCTCTAAATAGTCTACACTGGAAATTCCACTTTCCTCTATCTTACGCCAGTGGACAGGTTTTGATTCTTGAAGGCATTCCACTTTTATTTATTTATGCGTTATAATGTTTGTATTTTATTTATGCATTATAACGTTTGTATGATTTGAAGTTTTTTTTTTTTTTTATGCAAATAATATGCATTATAATGTTTGTATGATTTGAAGTTTTTGAACTTATGCTTAATATGTTATGAAATGCAGAGGCTGAACCCTTTAAAGTTGATACCCTAAAACCCTGATATGATCATATTGGACCTATTCTCATTCATCATGATGCAAAAACTCATCTTCGAGAAACATTGCCATTCATCATGACTCGCGATGAAGAAGAAGGATGAGCGTGCAAAAAGAGACAAGAAAAGAAGAATAAAAGAAGAAGAAGAAGAAGAAGAAGAAGAAGAAGAAGAAATCCCTCATGCTCTCTCCTTCCCTCATCATCCCAGAGGGAGAAGAACACTACCGTCTTCACCCGAATAGAACGCCCGATCATTATCGCTGTATGTAGACTGAAAGTTGCACCAAATAGGGTTATAATGACCGGGCGTTCTATTCAGATGAAGAACACTATCTTATGCCAATCCATTGCCCTCATCATCTGTCTTGGTCCTATTGTTATGATCATCGAATTGTTACAAAGAACGAATGAAGAAATACATCAAAGAATCATTGTCCGGGAGGTAGATCTCCCTTACAGCCACTGTGGCAAGAACTCTCCCCTAGCTCTCCCCCACCTCCTTTCTCTCTACTACTGTCTTCCACCGAACATAACGCACGTGTTGTAAACGAATACAAACCATAGGTCTATTTCTATTCGAATACAACGCATGTGCGTCCTATTCGAACAGCCCTTCTATTCGAATACAACACATATGCGTTCTATTCGAGTCATTTTTTTTTTTTGGATAACTAGAATACAATCACATATGCGATATGTTCGGGAGACGATAGTAGCAGTCGTGGCTATGGCGGTTCATCCTCTTCAGCAACGGACGTGCAGAGGACACCATAGTACACCATACTACTTGCACTGCTCCCGCCACGGCGAAAAACCGCCATGCCTAACTGACGGATGAAGGTCATGTCCAGCTGGTAGCCCAACAGGGCCATTCATGATGCAGCTCCAGTCAACGAGCTGGAGATGGAAGTCCCGGCGTAACCAAAGGCAAGTCCTCTTGACCGTTCCCTCCTCCCTCCTCCCTCCTCCTCCACCTCTCTGAAGTCTTCTCCTCACTCTTTATGGCCCCCCCCATGTGGGCTACCCCTCCTCTTGCCCCCCATGTCGCCACCCCCACGGGACATCTTGACAATGCGGATAAGCACAGGTTGGTTATGTCTATTCCTCCCCCTGTTCTCTTGTCCATGGCGTACTCCCCTTCGCTGTCTGGGGACGGCATTGTGTAGCTGACGATTGATTGATTGGTGTGCAGGACACCTGGTGTATATACTCTATACGTTTTGATCTCTAATCAATGCAGAGTTGGTGGTGATACCAACTGGCCTACCCTCTTCACCCGAATAGAACGGCTGGTCATTATATAGCTGTACTTGGGGCAACGTCCAGTCCAGATACAGCGATAATTACCAGGCGTTCTATTCGGGTGAAGACGGTAGCTCAGTTGCTAGCCTACACCCCTGAACTGTTGAAATACAGACCTGAATTCGAACTCAAAAAAAAAAAAAAAAAAAAAAAAAGAAGAAGTGTTGGTGGTGATAAGTTGGCAGAATGGTCACTGCAGAAGTCATGGGATGTATTTGTACTTTTGTAACCTTGCACGTCTTGTTGTGCACAGGTGCTACAGAGGGTGGCCTCTTTCCTTTTTTGGAGGGGGGATTCCCCTTCCCCCCCCCCCCCCCCTTCTTCGGGGTTGTTGGGGGGGTGGGGGACTCATTTAACTTCATTTACCCTAGCATGAAGTGAAATACCAGTCTCTTATTGACATGCTTCATACATGTCAGTCTATAACTAATATAAAGTCAATTATACTTGTATTTTAATAACTTTTATATGTAGTGATGATAGTACGTTTTTTGCTCTCTTTAATATTTATAGTATTTACTATTTATATACGGATATTACAGCTTTGGCTAAATTCATTTGCTCAATTCTTTGTGGACCAGGTGCATGGATGAAGTGTATGATGCTCTTGCAAAGCGACTACTGGAAGCAGCGCTGAGAACGCCTCCAAAAAAGAAGTATGTGAATTCTTTTTTGTCAGTTGTCGTTTCAGTCCCTTTACTTAACTCCATTCACTTAACTGCTACTCGGTTCACTCAACTCCCTTCATTGCAGCTTGGTTCACTGAAAGACCACCACTCCATCATTCACTTAACTGCAAGCTGGTTCACTTAACTCCATTCATTGCACAGCTTGGTTCACTTAAAAACCACCACTCCATTCACTTAACTTCAAGTTAGTTCGCTTAACTGCAACTCGGTTCACTTAACTCTATTCATTGCAGTTTGGTTCACTTAAAAACTGCCACTGGTCCTGAGTCAGACTACCACCAGCTGCGGGGGAGGTCGGCTTCAGCGTGTCAACGTCTTTTTTGAGTGCAGTGACTTTGTGACTTTGACGATTTGTTTTGCGCTAAGAATCGTCGACGAAAAATTCTGAAAACTTGTGAAAACTTGTGAAAAGCATGAGAGACATAGATCGAGAGGCCGGCGCCAGAAAAAAAAAAAAAAAAAAAAACAGTCTGGCTGCAGAGCACACTCTCTGTGATGTCACCGGTAGACTAAGACTTTTTTGGGGGCGTGGTCCTCTAGGTCCCGGAAAGTGGTTTGACGGAACTTTAACCTTATTAACCAAACTACCCGTTCACCGAATTCCAACTCGGCTCAGTGAGTCCCATTCACTGTAACTCCGACTCAGTGCACCTAACTCCATTCACTGAACTCCGTGTTTTTTTTTTTTTTTTTTGAACTTCCTTTTTTCCTGTTGTTTAAGGACTGCCGCCCTGTTGGGGCCCAAGTTCTTTAAAGTTTAAAGTTTGAAGTTTAAACTTCTTTCTTCTTTTTTGAACTCCGAATTATTCAATTATTCGCTTTAATAACTTCAGTCCGGAAACTTCACTGAACTCCGAATTGGTTCTTTAACCCTTTTTTTGTGTTTTTTTTTTTTGTTTGTTTTTTGGTGGAGGGGTTACCCCATAAAGTTATAGTATCCAACTGACTTCGTTGGGATTTGAACTCGTGATCTGTTCATTGATGGGTATATGTGGGTATCATTCAGCAACATGGGTTAGGTAAACTGTAACCAGGATCTAACCTGGTTTACGGAACTCCATTCACTGAAATTCTTCCTGGATGGGCAGATGAACCCAAGCGTCGGAACTCTTGGGACGCTTGGAACTCTTAGGGCTTTGGGATTCTTGGGACATTTTCGGACATTTTGGGACTTTTTGGGATGCTTGGAACTCTTAGGGCTTTGGGATTCTT